ATAAAATTTAAGTTATTAACAGAATAATTCAATTCAGAGTAAAAAGCGTGGGGTGCTTGATATTTTAAATATTACAATCATTCTATTGGCAACTATCTATGAGAGGATAGTTATGAACCGCAGTAAAATGCACCCCACGCTTTTTACTCTGAATTGAATTATTCTGTTAATAACTTAAATTTCATTATAATTTTAATTTGAGGTGATTTATTATGATTGATTGTTTGATCTTCTACTACTGTAATATTAAACTCTGTCATTAAAAATTATTTTCTAGTTTTTAGTTCGATTAGCAATAAAAGCGTGTTTTTTTAGTTTTTTAAACTATTATTTATTTTTCATTTTTTAGTCTGCGACAAATTCATAAATTGGGGAATTAATTACTTATTTAGATTTTTCTAGAAAGAACCACTCAGTGGTCTCCGTATGATCGATCAACGGGAATTAGTTCGAAATCAATCGCCCTCACGGACCAACGGGACACAATTCATCATTGTGGTTAGTTTTACCCCCCAAATAGTTAATTTTCCTCCATGTTTGTATTTCTGAATCAAAATTTGTTATCTTTATTTAAGTTGGTGAGAATTCATGATTAGATATGTTTTAATTATAATTAATTCCTTCTTTACCGACTGTAAAACCAAAGCTATGCAGAAATTGTCCTTGAAACAGAAATAATCGGTATAGATCGGTATAATCGACACGGAGAGAGATAACCGTGGTATATACTGACACAATTAAGATGCGATCAGCCATTTTTGCACACGTTTAGTTAATTAAAAGTCCGTTCTTGTTTTTTTCATTTAATATCCGTTATTTGTATTTTAATCAAGACTATAATTATTACAACGAAGAGTAAACCAGATACTACAGGCATGCGCAGATCGCGCGCTAGCTTTATCTCTTTTACTCCACTACACAGGATCCATAAAAGAATTTATAAATCCTGGCGGTCCTAATAAGGATAATGGGAAACTGTTATCAAATTATTGCATTGTCATCGATCCTTGAGACGTGTGCAAAGTTTCAAGATGATCAGACTTTTAGAAACCGATGAAAATTAAGCTCAAAGATTCCGTTACATACAACCCAAGCTAATAAAAGCGTGATAAAAATGACACGCAGCTAGCCGCCGTGAAAAATTTACTAAGAATTAAAATTAGTCGATAAATATGAAAGGCATCAAACACCAAACAGACTTGTCTTTGTTCCGGCTGAGTACATAAAGAGAGGGTGAGAGATGGAAGATCACATGATCAATTAAAGCTTTGTTCAGCGGTTCATAATAATAGAGAGCTTAATTCCACTGAAATAACACTTCGCGCTGACGTTAATTTCAGTTTTCTTGTATTTGTTCGAGATTATTAATCGCTTTTAAATTGATTTATTGCTTTGATACATACAGTTCTGTAATTAATTGACCTTTTTGGTGCGTTTATTTGGAAACGGTTAAGTTTTATGGCCACGATATCACAAAATAAATAAAGGACACATTGTTACAATCAATATGGCTTCACAAAACCAAGATTAACTTTTATTATGGGGTTTTATATAATTAAATCTATACAAAATTCCTGTCACTTGTATCGGGAGAAAGATGTGATGTATTGTGCATTCTTAAAGGTATGAAACATATCCATTTTGTTAATATTGTAAAAGTATGGAAAAACATTTAAATTTAAAGTCGTACTGAGCAGAAATCTTAGGATTACAATCTTTGTTAACGCACGATTTTATTTAACTACCACTAATTAAATTTATCTTATCGTTGGTATAAATTTCATTCATCCTAAGATTAATCAGGCGATCATATTTATTTCTGGTTCAATTACATAAAGAAGTATGAATTTAGCTCAATAAAAAGAAAATCACTATTTAATGCCGATTAATAATAACACACAAACATTTTTCGAACAATTTTAGTAGATCTTACCACAAAATTTTATTTTCTTTTTTAATTTCTAGTCAAAAAATATTCTGATACTTTCTCTGAGCAGTGGCCTTTTGAATTAATGCTTCCATAAGTATGAAGAATCACAGAGTGTTTTTTCTCAGTCTTGGAAATCGTAAAATATATGAGACAGATTAAATTAGATAAAAGTTGTGCTATCAGATATTGATGAGTAATATAAAAAAAAAAAATGTGATAAGCTTTAGAGTTTTAGAAAAACCTAAATTATTCGTTTTTAAAACTTCAAAATTTTTGTTGCTATAAGTATACCTACATACCTATATTATTATTTTCAAGCAAATTGTACAACAGTGATTAGAAGATTACAGATTTTATAGATTATACATTGGAATTATATGCTCTACTTTTTCTAATTATTATAGTAAAAATCTTATTATATTACGCAGCTGTTAAGTTTTACAAATATTACAATTTTGAAAATGTCATTAATACAAACGATTTTTAAACTTGTGTACATATGTCAAGTAATATATATTTCCAGTGTATGGTAAAAGAATAAAAATAGAGAATTTAAAAGTATAAAAAAAGATATTATTTTACGTCAATCAGATAAGATAAAAATCTTACAAAATTTATAGCCCAGTAGGACTTCATAATTGACAAAAGGATTATTTATTGTTTCTCTTGTTTAACCATGCAGCAATAAACAGTAGTGGACACAAAAGAAGTTTTAAAATCTAATATATGGCTTTAATTTTTCAAAATTATTTTGTGAATCGTAGTGTCATATTATGTAATTACTCAAAACTTCAATTGCTTTAGGTTGTTAAAAATGAGACAATTTGTTGTGATATCTTCCAAATTGTACAAATTGTTTTAATTTTCTTAATAGACTATTCATTCGTGTAAAACAACGCAAGTATTTTGACGTACTTCATGCCTATTATCCGATTCTTAAGATCACAATGGTGAATAAATAGAAAATCGTTCAGCACTATTTTTTCTCAGGTTTAACGTCAATAGAAAACTATTAACGATGTGTAGAAAAGGCGAGAAATTTTATTGTAGGCTTTACTATTTATTTAAAGTCGGCTATTAAGAATTGAAGATTTTTTAAGTAAAACTCCATAACTTGTACCACTTTATAAGATCTTAGCATAGATAACATTGAAAATAATTCCTTAAAGAAACCTTAATCGCCAAAAATTTCTATATTGCGTCATGAACAATAAATCTTTCAAAAATTTATTTATGTCTCAAGCTTAATCAGTACAGTAGGTACGTCTGTTAGAACCTTATCTTTAAAAAAGATTTACTTGGAAAATTGAAAATATAAATTAATAAATACATACATCTCATTTTAGAACTTATAATTTTAATTTATTCAAAAACACTGTCAAAAAGTTTCTGCTCACAAAAAGGTACTATTCTTATCATGAATTTTTGAATGATGTGATTGTAATTAAATAATGTGTCACTTTATAAGTATATCTATAACATCTGTAAGAAATGACATGTGTAAGCATTTATTGATTTTATGTAAAAGCACAAATATATTATTATGAGAATATCCACTGGAAGCAACTGTAGAAGCGAAAATTTTGTAATTTTAAGATAATATAATATATAAGGATATGTAATAAATGTTTGCGTTTCAGCATTTGAATAATGATTTTAAAGTACTCTTAAAATTTCAGAAATTTCACGATAATCAGGCCAGTAGTTTCGTAGATCTATTCAATATGACTGCCAGAAAACAGACAAACGAAAACGAAAGCCTCGCATTTTCGTTTTCTACAAAGTGTAAAACATAGAGAGAACATGGAAGGCACTCTTACTTAGCTTTGGGAAATAAAAATGTTAATGACTGAAAAATTAGCAAAAAGAAAAATTGGACGGAAGAATAATAATAATATTCGTTCTGTTTTCTTCATTTCTGTTTTTCTAGTAATTCTGTTTATTTTCATTCTTTTTTGCTTCGTTTATTTATTTAGATCTTCCCTTTCTTTTTTTAATAGAATAATTAATTTATCATTCCTAGTACCTTGCTCTAAAGATTTATATTAATTTAAATCTGCAATGTTTATTGTCAGCTCGCTGTTTTTGCTGACAAATCGTGTCCCTCCTTAGACATAAATCAGATTTTTTCCGCTCTCGAAATTTTCGCTTGATTGAAGTCCATGCATCATGACGGCGTTAATTTGAAAGTCTTTAATATAGGAGGGTGCATTTCAAAGCCTCTGGTGTATTGCATGAAATACGACTCTCTCGTAATTACACCTCTACATGATTTAATCTTTACTAAATTAATTAGACGAATCTCATAATTGAGTTGTGGCTATTTATGAGCGTAGAGTTTTTACGCTTTCTGCGAAAAATACCCAGCTTAAATAAGGGTGAAATAATAAGGGTTCGTAAGTAGTATAATCATACTTTTGTAATTAATGAGACGTTTCCGGCATGAAAGACGTTAGAGTACACAAAATCCATCATTGATTACGACGCTATTAAACAAAACAGAATTATTGTCACAAAATAAACGAAAGGGGTAAACATACAATGCATTGCATTTTATTTCCACCCTTAATCCGACCTCGCATAATATCAAGACCCTTATCGTTTCCCGTATCATGTGAACTATAGACACGCAATGTGTTTATACTAACTCTTTATGCAATTCATTTAGAAAATGCATTCTAATTCGACTAATGTCCCCCAACTCGAGAGTAATTAGAGAGCAATTAGCAGTTTATCAAGTTTTGTGTCGAATTGAGTGATTTTTTCGATTTTTACGGAAGGCACGTTGTGGATAATCAAGTCAGTTCTCGTTTGTGATGACATTTTAGGTACAAAACAGGTAACAGTGCATGAAACTAGTCAACAATAGCATAATTAGTTTTATTGTACTATTTTTATTTTTTTTAGAAAATGTATGATGTAAGTTTAAATTTAATAGACAGTGCATTGTTGGTAGGAATGAAAAATGGGATTATTTTTTTTCCGGAAGGTATAATTGATGATGAACGAGATTACACCATGATATAAAAACTGACATAGTTTTATAAATAATTCATTGTTGTCACGTTATATGATATTAGTACTTACGCAGTAACAAAATGAATTTATCCGTAGCTATTGGTAAGTGAAAAATTGTACTCCTATCTCATAATTAGACACAGATAGCTGATATTTTTGGAAAATTTTGGTAGTAATTATTATTATTTATTATAAATTAGTTAGTAACATAACATAAAGTAATTTTGGAATTTATTTAAGTGGAATTTAAGTACTTTAAGTGAGTTTTACAAAAAAAAACCGTAAATGGGAACTCACTGTTATTTTTTATTAACATGTTTGGACCAAAATTTTTTTTTAGATTTAAATAATGTTTATATCATCTACATGCCTTACAATAAACCATAAACAAAAAGACGATGGTTGTTGGGATAGCACAGTGTACAAACTGCATGGACCATCTCATTTCTCAGTTGTATATTTTGCAGTTTTCAATTCATGGTATAAATCTTTTGGGTGTGAGAAATAAGTACCATAATGCTGTTTGACGGTAAAGCACCACGACACTGTCAGCACCAGTCTAGTAAATTGAATTTGAAGAGTGCTAAGTAAAGTTCTCAAATCGATTTCTAGAATAAGAAACTTGTTTAAATTTAAATCATTAACCTTCCTTAGAATTTATTAATTAATATTAATAAATAAGACTCCACTTTTCATAAATAGCGAAAAATCACAGGCAAAATTGTATAGTGTGTACAACAAGATGGCAGTTTGATAAATATTATGATAAAGTTCGGCCAAAGATATAGTGCGTTTACAACTAAGTTTTCATAAGCATTTTCCAGCGGGCCCCTCATAAAATCAATAATTACAAGCAATTATGGCATTAGTGGTCCACATGCCATTTTGGAATTACTTTTATTTGTTATTTATATAATAAAAGAAGGTCTTGGCCAGGCAATCGGATTCACTGCCCTTATTGTGACGAGCCACGGCCGCATTATATTTTTCGTTGAATTTCTTCATATTGATTTTAGTTTTGTACAAGAACAACCACATTGTATCTTTTGTACTTGTATGTAAGTAACTTTTCATATATTAGATTAATAGCATAATAACATTAATAATTAAAATAGTAAATAAGTTAACCACATCTTTCAAATTCATTGAATTTTGACAGCAATCAGTATAGAAAATATTATTTTACACACACGAGACTTAAAAAAATCTACAAAAACGTGTTTTACTAACTGGGTTGACATCCTCTCAAGCAGACAAGAACTACAAATCAGAAAGACGTCTAAATTTTTCTAAAAATATTTTAACGTCGTCAATAATATCGATGATACAAAAAAGTACCTAATACACAAAATAGTTTTTTTTTTCTGTTTTTGAGAACTGTCACAGTTTTTTATAAAATTCGTAACGTCCGATTGCTGTAAATTTTTTTATGTATGTCACGTTTTAGATAGGATTTATTCGGCAAAATTTTGAGATGATGTCATAAATTTCCGGGGAGAGGTAAACAGATATATTTTGAATAAAAATTTACCATGCTTATGATAACTTTTAAACATCTGCAAGGTTTTAAAGCATACTGTTTTGCAGCTTCAAAATTAAATTGCAAAATTTGTTAAACAATTTTGATTTTTTTTTCCAAACATTTGGATGTCTGGAGTAAAAACTCAAAACGGATTCATAAACTACACGTGTAAAGGTATATTATTTTATATAATTTAAAACCAATTTATTACGTACAATTTGGAGGTGACGTTATCATATCGTTGATGGGGATGATCAGACAAAGTTTGGTTAGCGTTTTACGATGTACACGATATTCCTAAAACATATAAAAATCGACACAGACGGCGGACAGCCAGACGGAAACGGAAGACCTATTGTATCGACCTCTAGGGGTCATGATATGTCGAAAAAACATTAAAATAACCAGTCGCTCGATGGATTCAATTACATTTTACTCTTGGGAAGTAAAAAGAACAAAAATTGCAGGATGAAAGTTTTATACTTTACATTAAAATGGGTATAATTGGTTTGTTTGAAGCTTTGATAAGACGCTAATATTGATTTAAGTATTAATAATTGTAGAACCTTGATCAAAATTTATTTATAGATCCTCTAGAGAAAGCTGGTTATTTTCGTTCAAACAATATTACGTAATAGTTCATTAAAAATTACAGGGTATTTCAAAAACATTAATGAATGAACAGTTTATTAATTAAATTAAAAACACTTTACCTAAAATTTTCTGGATTTCTAAAAACATAGTGTAGTGTTATTATTATCAGAGCTACATTTTACATACAAAAATTAAAAACATTTTTCTTTGGTTACCATAGGTATTGTCTCCATAAAAGTTTAATAAGAAAATCAGTTTTACTTATTTCTGTTTGCCTGTCGATGTTTATTTAATGTTGATTGTTGAAGAATTATTAGAGAAGTAATCTCTGAAGTCATATATCTTTACTCGTTCCTTAAAGGTTTAGCGTGACATGTTCCTTTATCTACGGTTTCATAATGTTTATTTTTAACTTCACGTACGTATTTAAAAAATTGATCTGAACCAACAAATTTATGTAATAAAATGTATAGTGGATTTTCGTAGAAATTTCAGATAGGTATTAGTTTGATAGAAAAATTCCTGGTAGCGATCGCGCAAAATTAACCAATGGTTCAGCTTTTTCTCTTGGAAACAAAATTATATACTACATGTAAATGTGAAAATTAATATATGTATCTAAAGTTATTTTAATAATATGTAATAATTATTAAAAAAATTACGTCCTGAAATTATGGGACGAGGGGGGAGGGTTATCGTTCCGATAAAGCTACAAAAAAAGCAATTAAAACAGCCATGGATTTTTTAAAAATATGTCTTTGATCGTTGCATTTTCAACAAGGCAAGTTTAAAATTGTATCAAGGACAAATCTCTAAAAATCTATGGAGAACCATAGAGAACCAAAGAGAACTTTGATCGTGTTTTTATTGCTGTCTCGGTATTTAGACTTAGTACAACTTAGCAGAGTTAGTAGAACTAAGTACAAATCAGATATTGTTTTACTAATAGTCTATTTTTTCAGTATCAAATGTCATCTTGGCATTTTTGGCCTTTTCTACAGTAGCAGCTCAACCCTTAGATAAAAAAGTACTTAGAGAGAAAGGAATACAGCTCTTACAGGGATGCAAAGAAAAAGTAAAGGCTTCAGACACCGACCTGAAACAATTGATGTCTCATTCTATACCCGAATCGCCTGAAGGCTTATGCATGCTTGAATGCGTTTTTGACACATCAAAACTGATGCAAAACGGCAAATACAGCAAAAGTGGTTTTATTCAAGGCCTGCAACCTCTTATAGGCGATGACCAATCCAAGAGAAAAAACGTGGAAAAGCTAGCTTCTGCGTGTGAAAAAGAAATCGGAAATGCGGAGCAGGACAAGTGTCAAATTGCCAAATTACTGGTGCAATGTATTGTAAAAAATAGTGGTTCCTATGGGATAAATATTCCTACACCTGGTGCATAAATTTTGCGTTTGTATGATAATAAGGTTTTCAATAGATGTAAAAGATTATAAAAACTCAGAAATAGAGGCAGAATTGTCGAGTAAAAATCCTTAACGATTTCCTTCTCAAACAAATCCCTCGCACTTCAAATAAGACTTTAACACCTCTTGATTTCCTTTTAATACTCCTCACGCTTTGTAATTTTTCAGCTTCTTTGTGGAGCTCTTAAATTGCTGAAGCTTCGCAATCTTTAAAGTTTTCAAGTCCTTAATTAAAAATGATTTTTACAGGAAGAGACTCGGTTACAAGATTGAATGAAGGCCCTCTGATATTTTCTTAATCACTATATCAAAGAATGAGGGGAGAACATTTAATACAATCATATTTCCATTTAGAAACAAATTCGCGGGAATGTACCTAGTTAAGTGCCACCATAAAATAATTCCCACTTTGCGTGGCGCATTATACGCAAGAATTTTAGCGCGGTTAAAAGTGACGTTTATGACACTTTACGAGGAAAAATACATTTAGTGAGCATTGTGCGATGACGGTTTCGATGCTATTTTGCCTCTGCGGAGACAATAATAGGGATTAAAGACAACAATTAGACATGGAAGTGAGATAGACAAAGGAACTGGTGTCGTTTCCCACAGGATTAGATGCTGATTCACGACGTCACTAATTCGCGCCCCGGGATTATCATACCATTATACCAGATATTTATGGTTTTTTAGGCATTGGTGCTTTTCACAACCCTTACAGCGTGATGTGCAGCTGAGTGAAATGTGTTTTTCTCAAATATGAAAGCTTTTAATCTCGACACACTTTTTTCATATGAATTTGTCTAGATTTTTTTTATTACGAATATTTTTGGTACTTGTGTTTTCATTCATTTGTTTTCACCCCTTGAGCGATAGGGTAATAAAGTGATTCAGACGAATGTCTGATTTCGTAATTTGCCATTTTCCACGTAGTAGAACACGAAAATGCAGTTTTCACATTTTGCCGATAATATCTGAATACCTCAAAATTTTAACTGTCACTACTTGGCATTTTCGTGAAGATAAAACGCTAGCACAATTTATTTTATTCGTTTTTTATGAAAACTAATGATGTGTAGGGGATACTTTAATTAATACCTAATATAATTTTTAGCGTCATGTGTACAGGGTGATTCAAAAATAGCGCACTAACACCATTTGTTGTTAAGAATTGTTTACTGAGCAAAGAAGAAATAATTTAAAAAGTCCTTAGGTCCAAATGTATAAGAGATTGGTCTCCAAAGTTAATTTTGTTTTAGATATTTGACTACAAGTGTTGGACACATAAAATAGATCGGACTCTTATTATTCAAAATAATTTTGGAAGCATTTTGTATTTACTCATATTTTCTTTATTTTAGAATATCACAAAAAACTTAAAAATTCGTCAGGATGAACCTGACAACAGTGGCTAATTTTTACCTTTTGTAATCTATCTAAATAATTGTTTTTGTAAGTGAACGTCAAATTGACGTGAGGAATTTTTAATTGATTTTTCAGGAACCTAGACTTGTGAACTTAATAATGTATCGTTAAATTAGTGCCTCATTTTTTAACCACTCTGTATGATGAGTTATAGATATGTAGTGGATTTGTTAGAAATTTGGTGATATATTAATAGTGATTTAAGGTTTTGAATAATACTGGATTTTTCTATTCTGTATTAAACGATAGGATATATATGTTGACTTTTATGTCAAATTTATGCGATGTTGCATGTTTGTGTAACATGTATTTTCAATGAATTTTAAAATCTATCAATTTATGCTTTCCAAATATTTAATTGAAAAATAATTAAATAAAATTACTTACTACAAATTTTCACAAAAATAGTATATCGACTAATGTGGTTCAATACTAATTAATTATCAGAGTTAGGCAAAGCCGAAGTCATGAGGAATCAATCAGACAAATATTAAAAACGACGACGCGACGTCTGGCGATAAATTTGGCTGGTCGACTGTGCAGTCTCCACCTCAGTGGCGTTTGATGCAATGCAAGGTTTACCTGATCAACATCGTCGCGAAAATTGTGATGTTGAACAGTAATTTTTAATTTTTAAAGCATTTTAATATCTAGGAGGATTCGTATACCTGAAGAGAACCTAGAAAAAGTAGTAATTATTATTAAGAATTTCCGAAGTTGTAAGCCACGACTGCAATAGCGCTGGCGATCGGACGGCAATGAGCATCACTTTAATAATGCCGAAGTCTGCTAATTATTATCATGGACACATTTTTTTTTCTTTCCCGTATATACCTCGAACATAATAATTTTGTGTTTCGTGTTACATTGTACATAATATAAATTAATATACACTGACCGGCAAAAAAACTGGCCACCCTGAAAAATTTCGCAAAACCACTTTAAAAATTATTAATTTAACTAGTGATCATTATTTTATTAAATAACCATTCACTATTGACACATTATGTACAAATTAGCAAAAAAAGAAGACAAATTAACGCAGAATTAAATTTAATTTAACAAAATAACAGTGGCCGGTTTTTTTGCCGGTCAGTGTAGTTGCCTCTTCACTAAAACATTAACTATTAACTTATAAAAGTTAATGTCGGTTAAGATCACGATATTCACGCAGAGGCAAAAGTGAGTAGGTATAGGTCAACATTTTGGGAAATATTGTAGATTCCTTTAAGAGCAGTAGAATAGATTTTAGACAAGATTGATTTTCATTACTATTCACAGTGTGATTCTTATATAGTTTATTTTGTTTACATAGAGCGAGACAAAAAGAAATATAGTTGGTGTTAAATTTTTCGAGACCCTGTTTAAAGACATTTCGTTGCTTTTTGTGGGAACGTTACTTCACAAATATATTTCTCATTTTCTAAGTTATTGAAAAAGTTAGATAGAGCCAAACTACTTTTTCACGAGTGTCACCTGAGTTAGAATCGTACTTACGGTATTTCGGTTGTCCATTATGGAAATGACTTTTTTATGTTTCGACTGTAAGTGCAAGTATACTGTAATCTGACTAATGGCTGTTTTCATGTTTTTTCGACGTATATCGTAATCATTTAATCGTTGTTACTCAAAACCGAAAATACTATTATTTGTGCATGAAAGTTATTCGAGTAACAAACTATACCTACAAACAGATTTTTCTACAAAATAATCAATGATAAATGATAATAATATATTAAAAAACATGTTTTGTAAGGTCTAATATAATCACACGAGTTGAAGTTTGTAGTACGAGGCGCTTGCGGCGAATTTTTGTAAAGGACGAGTGTGGTGCGACAACCACACAATGAGTTATGAAACAAGTTTTTTTTTCTATTGAGAAAATTTAACGTCTTTATTTTATATTTTACGCAAGAAACCCATACGCTAGCCCGGTACGACGCCTATGGGCCGTCGAGAGCTTTCTAGTAGGTAGGCATGCACGGCAGTGACCGGTGACATCGTTGGTGACGGCGACCAAGCGGCGTTCGAAAAGTCTGGAAGCGGAAGTCGCAATGGGTATTCGAGAAAGACCTCGATCGTAGAAGTATGGGTTTAAATTGAGGCCACCTTCAGGAAGGATTATTATTTAGACAATTGAGTCAAGAGAGTCCAGTCAAGTTGCGCCGGAACTATTTTGTACATAATCGCTGTAATAGTTAGTCATGTAAATTCGACTTAGTAAGAAATAAATTGTTGAGTTTTACCCACGCCGATTTTATTCACCGATCAACGTAACAATATTATCATCAAAATAAATTTAGTTTTTAAACAGCATTAACTGGCAGCCAAGCAAGTTACTGTGGAAAAAGAATTAACATTTACAAGAAAACAAAAATTAATGAAAATATTGGTTTGCTCTATAGCCTCTGCATTAATAACTAATTTACGCTCTCCAGAATTATGGCAGGAATTTCGTAGATCAAGATGTTTTTCAAAATTTCTTTACATTCTTTACATTCATTACATAATTCGTAAATAATGCAATCCAGTTCTGATTATGAAACTTTTTTTGTAAAAACAGTTTTCTTAGGTGACCATTACAAATCTAGTCATTTTACGTCCTCAATCACGTCCGTGAAGTGTCACTTTTTGGTACTGAAATGTCAAAATTACGTTGTACGTTTGTACTCACTTGTCACTTTGTTGTACTCATGTGTCGAAAACTTACTTTTACGTCCTTGGCCTTGATCAACAATTTTTTAAATGAAAAGCATCAGGTGAATGTCAGTACCGGAACATCATGTTAATCTCTGTTTGTATATTCTTTAATAGTAGGCACTTAATCACTGAGCACAGAGTCACTGATATAACGCAATATTATTGCCATGCAATAAATTTAATTGAAACTGCAACATCTGTACTTTGTTTCAAGTGTTTAGTTTATCAGTAGGTATATAAATAAAAAGATATCCTTAAAACGAAATGTTGTAGGTGCGATTTAAAACAAAAATTCCCCCAAAAATAATCCCAAAGGAAACTGAACAAATACATATAATCCTTTTATAACCCAATAACAGAATAACAGAAACATGGATTGTAATATAATGTAATTTTTTCAGAAAAGTATTAAGTATAAGTTATAACACTGCGCAAATTCTTATTTTATGTTACGAATTTATATTGAATTCATTTTTTTCTTTACTTGTCTGCCTGTTTTTATTTAAATACATGATATTCCGATTATCCCAAAAAAATGTACAAACTTCAGCAAGCAGGTGATAATTTCATCTGAAATAAATTATTAAATGAATTATACTCTGAGGTACTGAACTGCTCATATTTTTAAATTTTATTGACATACTTTAGGGATATCTCAAAAACGTCTCGTTCTTTTTTTTTACTTCTTCATGGTGACACTGTGTTAGTGTTGGGAACATCAGAATAATTAATAGATGTATCTATTCTCCCCAAAAAGTTGATTACGTTATCAGAAAAAATAGTCCCACTAAATAAATATTTTTTGATAAATACATTTTGTGCTTTAGCAAAAATATATAATTTTTTATAATGCTTACACAGGATATCTCAATACAGTTGTGTATAAACGGATTTATTTTATTGGTGGTCTTAGGGATGAGTTACGTAATTTTCCTGATTCTACGCATAGGAAGTTTAATCAAGAAATCGATGAAGATAATACAATGTTAAATAAATCTTTAGTGATAAATTTCTCACAAATCGCCTTCTTCCTCTGTTCTCGTTTTGATTTCAACAGAAATTTTGGAATCTTAATCTGAATCAAATTTAGTTAAGGGAAGTATATGTTGGATGGTAGAAAAATTTATTATGTTTTTAACAACTTGTTTATATTATGATTTAAGGTATTAAAAATATTTTTGAATTACCTATCAAAATAAATAAATAATCTCTAGGTGTTAGAATTTTTCGTAAAATTGCTTCTGCCGTTTATATTGCATGGGCTTAACGTATTTTTGGTGCACCCTGATAATATGATAATTTTTATGCCAATAAACAGTCTAAACAAAGAAGATTATAAATCACAATTTAGAGAAATAACTCGGCTCACCTTGATAAAGGAATTAACACCTATCTTCTAATAAACAACTGATAACTAAAACATACTCTTTTGATATTGCTTTTTCTGTATATCTAAAATTATACATTATATAATAATGTTCAATATTAGAACTGGATGTTTTATTCAGATAATTTTTAATCATTCGATGCATATTTATAGATTGTCATAAATTTAAATACTGAGGAAAAAATTTTTATTTATTTTTATTAAATGCTGTCGATATTGTTAAACGTAATGTGTATCTTGATTTAAAGTTTTCAACATAATTTAAACACAGATGTCTACAAATTTATATAGGTATTATCTGTTGTCCATGGGTTCAAAAATATTTAGATAAATTATTTTATTTTGAATAATTTAATAATTTCGTTATTACTAAACTTAGTGATATCATCTCGTATGTTAAAAAAATCAAAAAAAGTTCATTCTGAAATTTTTTCAACATATTATTATGTCATTATTTATAACTACTTAGTAGAATTCAGTAATGTAGCCGATATGTTTTTAATTTGTTTACACAGTACTTACTTAAAATTGTATCGATGTCATTTTGCATAAATATACGTATCTAGTAAACTCAAGGTAGAAGTTTATACGTTGTAAATCCTCGAATAGTATTTTGGGTAACAAAATTTCTTTAGAACCTAAAAAACCGGTTTCACGAGTTCCGAATTTTTCAGTGTCATTTAAATGTCGCCACAAAATACAAGTTTTTTTAAGAAATTCATAATTTAGAAGGGGGGATAATTCCTAGCTGAAACATCCTGTATATAATATCATTTGTAGTACTTATCAACACCAACATTTTAGCAGTGTCTATACTTATGTACCTATCAATCTTATCACAAAATGTCATCAATGTTGTTGCTGACTAGATACGGATTTTCTAATAGTATTTTTCTCAATACAGAGCTGTCATTTTCATTATGTTTGCTTTGATAATTATCATCACTATCAACTTTGTTGCATTCATATGAAAATTTTACTGAAATTTAAGTTTGAAGTTTTAATTAGAAAAGGAAAGTGGTATTTCTAATGGGCGAAGAATGCCTCATCAACCACTAATAATCAGATTTAAAAAAAAATATCAACATGGTAATGTGAAACTCCATCACGCACATTGATGAACCATATCTCCTGTTCCACGCCATGCAAATACGAATAAATTAAATTAACCATAATATTATTTTACACATCAATCTATCTTACAAGAATTTTATCAAAATCAATCAATGCTAATTTATTTCATCAGACGCGGTAACTAACAACAAAGAACAGGACTTCAAACCTTTACGCGGGTTGCATCGTAGAAGGCGTGCTCTCAATCTCGACCAATAAATGAACATTATTCCCCACCACTCCATTCCATAACAGAGGGAATACAGCTCTATAAGGATAATCAATTGTCTATTAACTTCAAGAGCCAACTTTGAGAAAACTGCGAACGCAGAGTTGAAAGCCCCAGGCAGTGCGGAATGAAACGAGAATCCAATTTTCCAACAGATTCTAAATGAAATGTGCTGATAACAGCAGGGAATAGGAGATAAAGGATAATTACAATTACGAACACTAGCCACATGAGTATACACCTTGTGAAAAATTAATAAAAAATGCCATGTTTAGATAAGGTTTTTATTTTTATTGCTTTCGCTCAAGCACTCAAAAACTATTAGTTAAGTTTTTTAAATAAAATAAGGGGATGAGGCAGCTTATTTTTAACACTGCGTTTAAACTACTGTAAATATTCATCCAGGCTTCTCAAGAAATGATGTTTTTTTTATGAAGAGTATTTTTTTTTTATCAACGCAGCAATTTCGCGGGATTTCATAAACGACTATGAACACTTCGATAAACGATAAAACACGATTTTTAATAAAACCGTAGCGGCTTTTCATTTAAAAAAATAAAACTCTGAAATCACAATATCTTACATAGTATTTCATTCATTGATTCAATTGGTCTTTGGGGCGTGGTCTTGCGCTCCGTCCCCGCCCTTTTCCCTAAGCACGGGACCATAGAGTCCACAATCAAAATATAGGGCGGTGCAAAGATTAAACTCAAGCTTATCAGCTCAAATACACCAGTATCAAACAGTTGACTGTCGACTGAATCTTCGCCAACACGCGTTGCCACAGATAAAGCTTCCAAACACACACTGATAAAAAAATCGTCGGCACTTTTCATCTCTGACAAAGTACTTTTTCCGGTTTGCGGGTCGATGTGGCACTTCCGGGTATCCGCGAATTTTTCTGATGGGAGTCTGTGACGATCTCGTACGAAAAATGGATTTTGTTTGTTTTTATGGCAACCGATGATGTGTTTTTGTGATATTTTTGCGATTTGAAAATTTTTGTTAAAATGGCTCTAGAACTGAGTTCGCATCCTCCGATGCCGTTGGACTATAGTAATGGTGGGACAAGAGAAAATTCGACTAGTCCAGTCAATGTTTCCGATTCGGCACCGTCGAGTCCGCCGGGAAATAGCGCTTTCACCGTCGTGACGCCCAAGGGGAGAGATCGTAAGTTCTTCTTACTAACTTAGGCTTGCCTTTTTTCATTTTTACGACATAAATTTGGGTTGCTATGAATAGGTTGTTTACCATCAGGGTGATGGTAAGTCGATCAAAATTTTTAATTGATCCTCATTTTTCAGTACGTTGTGTGGTTATAAATAAACTCCATTATTTTTGCCTTGTCATATATGTCTATCTATTTATCGGATTTTTAGTTTTGTGGAAAAAGATTCTATCGTAATTTATAATATTTTATCAATCAGTTATTAATCTCTAATACTTACTACAATTCTAATGCCTATTAGAAACTTACATCTAATTTTTTTTTCATTAACTCACACATCAATTTCATTCAGAGCATGATATTAAATTTTTCATTCATGATTGATCCAAATTTAAGCTTTTCTCGTAAAACAGAAAAATCTGTTTTAACTGTCATTCTATGTCATCACGTTTTTAATTTTTATATTTAAATTTCTACAATTCATAAATACATAGTTTGTTAAATTTGATGAGTGAGAATTTTGCGAAAACTCAGTCCTAATAAAGAACAAATGACGTAAGTATGTAACCCTTGTCGACAAGGAAAAATAAGAATAAAATAAGGCATCAAGAATTTTAAAATAACCAGAAAAGTAAGGCTCTAATATAAACAACATGAAAAAAGTCAAATTAAAAAGCTGATTGATCTGTTGCAGTATTTTTGTGAAAAATTAAGTTTTCAATTATGTAAGAATTACTCAAAATTATTATATTTTTTCTTTAGTTTTTACTTTTTTTGCTACAGTGTGACGATAAAAAATTTCCATTTTGAATTGTGGAATTAAAGGTCATATGAACCTCGATTAGTGTCGCAGTATTAAGAATTTTATGCGGAACTCCAGGTAAACCCAAAATAATTCGATGATTCATGTTTCAAAACCGAAACTATAAGAATCATAACGTTAAATGGTACAGTTATTTATTGACAAATTAATTATGTAAGTTTTGAAATCTGCTTCTGTGTAATATATTAATATTCTAATGGAGAGACTGCCTCTATTTTGAAGCTAAAAAAATACAGAGGGAATATTATGATTCAGACGGTCATACTGAGTAGTTAGAAGTCATATATTTTACCTAATAAAAATCATTGTATATCTTTAAAGTAACGTTTATTAAACGTATTATTAATAAATTATAATTCACATATACCTACCTACAAATAATAACACATGTTTATTTGTCATCTCGAGGTTGAGTGACAGTTTACTTTATACATACAAAATGCTTGTATTTTTAAGATTTGAAAAGTTGAAAAGCTTCAGGTTTTTCTTCGAAGCTTATAATAAAAACTTTGAGAATAATTTTTTATCAATATCTACTTAATTATCCAGACAAAATTTAGATGTTATAGCATAAACTGAAGACATTTACCTATAACATGGAATTTTTAGAGTTTTTAAAATAAATTTTATTTATTAAACAAATAAAATAATTTGTTTTTCAAATTTTGATCCATAATTTCAATGCACATTTTATTATCTTATAATAAAACAGAATTTGATTTCACTAAAATTTATGAACTTCGATTCGATAGACGAATAAAAACCATTGTTTCAGTATTTACGTTCATAATCGATATTGATAAAATAATCTTAGTTTAGTGAAATAATGACCTGCAGGAAAAAAATATTGTACCAACCTCAGATCATGAAATTTTGGTTGTTCAGCAACATAAAAATTAATATTTTATTAAGCAGTTATTTCCAGTGGCTAACTTGCTAACCCTGAATGACAGCATTGAAGAAAAAATTGACTGGTGGTCCTACAAGAATTTTTTTTCGAGCGTCTGTCTTTGATTTAATTTCTACCGGACATTGTTTTCTTATTTGTTTTCGCGTTCAGGTGATTATTGTAGCTAATACTTGTATTGGAAGAATTTATAACTATAAAATTCGAAAAATAAAAAGGAAAGTATCTCGCTCTTTCCACATCTTTGGACCTACATATATATCTAAAATTTTTTGTAGGTCTAGAAATTATTTTTAAAGACTTATTTGTGACTGCAAGTAAAACATGTAATTGAGAGATGATATTCATAATAAATAAATTTTTAAACCGTGGACTAAAACAAGGGCTACTTTTATATTTTTTGTGGATTTAAAATTTCTTAAATTTTCTCAACAAGATAACACTACTGTTAATCTGGTCATAAATTTAAAAACTTTAAACGATTAATTATCGCATAAATAAAAGATCAAAAATATGGTAATCAAAATTGTCAAAGACCAATCTTCTTAAAATGTTCTTGAAATAATCTACGATTTTGACACAAGTGCTTAAAATAGTGTTTTCTATGAATTCAATATTGTAGAGATTACAATAGGAACAAAGCACAAACTAATGCAGAGATTAACCGCTTATTGTAAACTGTTTAAAACTCAAGTAAGACTAAGCACACTTATTGTAAATACAAAATGTAATCACTCAAATCTAGAGAAGTTGCAGTGACTCTTGAAAGCCAGTGGAATTACAAAATGTAAACAATTAGGAAATTGAGACAAATGGGATTGTCGGAAAAAAGAACAGAGCACTCATTAAGAAATTGTGCCGTCAAAGGATTTATTTCGTCAGTCGTATTTTGGACAATTAAACTTATCATAGGCAGAGATGGTTTCATGATTGTTTCCTTGCAACGTCATCGTTTTGAACTTTTGGAGAGTTTATGTACAGATAACAACATAACGCTGTACAAAAAGCACAAAAATTTTGAAATTTTTGTTTGCAAATTGCAGTGGACTCACCTGACGGATCAAAAAGATATTATTTTGGATATCGTTTATATCACAGAGATTGGTGTGTAATCTTTTACATATGGCCTCCTGTTTTCCCCCACAATAACGTAATTGATAGTTGGCCACAGCAAATTATCATAATCCTATCTATCTTTTATTTTTTATTTGCTATTTGTTTATCGTATAATCTTCTTCATTAATAATTTTCGTCGTTCGTTAATTTTATTTTGGTGAGTTTTTCCTTGTGGAATGAATTTTTAGCCCCTTTATAATATGATAACAAAAATATATGCTCTATCTCCACCAATCAGAATGTAATACTTTTGTGTGTCTAAATAAAACTTATCACTGGAGTTAAAGCGCTGATTAAACTAATAAAAACTGGTACCATATAATCGCCATAAGTCAACATATACAGAGTGCTTTTTGTGAGACATTTGACGCTTTAGTGGCAGCAAAAATGAAACGAAATTAAAAATAAATCTGAGTGTGTTACGCACATGTCGAATGAACCCATCATAAGAAGAATTTTTTCAGAATCGGGTCAACGAATGAACATATGCGCAGTATAAATTACAATAAATAATATAAAAACTCCAGGATTTGTAGAAACTCAAGACGCACACATGTTTCCCAAGTCATTGTTCCCGGATGAACATTGTACAAGTAACTTAATACTCCCCTTCGTATAAAAACTGAAAAAGATTTAATTTTTATTTTTGTTTAAGTGCGTCATCACTTAACTTTGTATCATATTTTATTGTCCTAGAAGACATAAACTGTAAGTTTTTTCCGCCTCGGAAAGTTTCACCGGACTATTTACATAGTTCTGATTTAATAATTCTGATTGGCTCAAAAAGTACCCAGTAATTACGAGCATAAAAAGCGTGCACCGATTATAAAAGTGATAAATGAAAGAGATAAAACAGATCAGTCCGAGAGTTGAGTGCTGAAATAATTTGATTTCTATATCGAATTCTCTTTGAAGTGAAGCGCTAGATTGCATTTTGTTGGCGTTAATTGAAATTGACGAAAAAATAATTAGTTTTCCCCCATTTCTCTCTATCCTGTGTCTATATACGCCCGTATAGGGCAATATGTAATGAACTCGGCTTGGTTTTAACACCCCAACTGTTATAACACGTAGCGTCTAATTCACAAAACTAAACTGTTTAAAACTTTAAAATTATGATGGCGAAAGGTAACGAATTGGCAGACTAATGGATTATTTTTGTCACTTTAAAAATCTGCTTGAAACATACCTACATAGGTATCGATTATTTATTTTCAATAGTGTTAATCTTTGTTAATCTTGGAGACTGTAAATGAATGGATATGTTGTTGACACAAATGTGTTTATTATTGTGAAGCGATAAAACGAGTATAACATTATGTCTGAGTGGTTTTTTCTATTATTATGGTTGTCATCGTAGATATATAGGGTGGTTCACGAGTAATCAAGCCGAAAATGCTAGGCAAACTACATTTTCATGGGTTTAATTCAGAATAATCGTTTCCTTGGGTGTTCGCTTTTATGCCGTTTTCCGGATTAAAAAGACTCAGGGCCGGTTTATCAATGCGCAGTTAAGTTAAAGTAACTGGCAGTTAAAGCTTGTCTGTGAGTTAACCTGTTTATCATTACCCGCTAGCTCAAAACTGGTGGTCAAAGTGCCTGATAAATTAACTGACAGTTCAAACTGTCAGTTAAAGCGTTATCCACCAGTTAGTGGCAACATAACCTAACAAATCCAAATAAATCTGTTATGAATTTAACAATATTTTGATGAGGACTTATGTTGTGCAACAAATTGACAGAGAAAAGATGAGAAAAACACTTATTATTAGCTGATTATTTTCCAGGTCTAATGTAGGTACCAAAAATTAAAAACCTATCTAATAATACCGCGAGATCGAAAAAGAAATTAATCGAAGTAGGCCATGCACGACAAGCCGTTTGTCGTAATCACGGTGATAGGGTAATTCAATTTTTTTTATTAAATGTCAAATTGACAGTTTAAAATTAGAATTATGACGCCTACTTTTAAAACACATAAGAATGAATTAAAATCACCGTTTTCCAATTTTGTCTAAAATTTATCGCATTTCTGAAGATTTTAATAACAAAAAAGCTTTAATTTCGTTTGATAACAGTGCAAATTACTTTTGTCAACGTGACGATTAATAAAAAATTATTTTAAAATAAGACAAACGCCTTTTCGTGCATGGCCA